ACTGGAATCTGTCCTTACTCCTTTTCAGGCCCTAGCTTAATTAAACATATGGCCTCTTTGCTCCTATGCACACAACCGACGGTCTTTTCTACACACACACATACACACACGTGCACTAACTGTCATGATCTTGAGCTGAAAGGTAGCTGCTGCTTTAACCTCTTTTCTTATATTTGTTTTAACAAATTTTTCTTTCTTGTTTGTTTGTTGAGACAGAGTCTCATTATGTAGTTCAGGCTGGCCTTCAATTCACTGTAGCTCCAGCTGGCTTACAGAGATCCTCCTGCTTCAGCCTCCCAGATACTGGGAATACAGATATGTGCCACCACACCCAACAATTCTTTAGAAATTTCTATTCCCTTGTGAAAAGATTCTCTTAGAAAAATCTCCAAAACACCCTGTGCTGTTGAATGACCCCAGTAACTTTCTCCTTGAAAACTTTTTACTGTTTCACTTTCTTTTTGGGGTAGGTGAGGGGTGGGTCATACACCTAGGAATTGAACCCTAGGCCTTCACACTGAGCTACATCTCCAGTTTAAAAATTTTGCTTTTAAATTTTGAAATAGGGTATTACCAAGTGTGGCAGTGTATGTTTGTACTCCCAGTACATCAGTAGCTGAGACAGGAGGATCACTGCAAGTTCTAGGCCAGCCTGGGCCACAAAGTGACTTCAAGGTGAACCCGAACTACATAGCATGGTGAAAACTGCACAGTGAAATCCTGTCTCAATAAGAAAGAAAGAAAGCCCTGGTACCGATAAAAACGAAAAAGACAAAAAAAAAAGAATGAATGAATGAATGAATGAATGAATGAATGAAAGAAAGAAAGAAAGAAAATGCATCTTACTATGTTGCCAGGCTGGGCTCAAAACTGCAATTGTCTTGCCTCAGCCTCCCAGAGTACTGCAATTATAGGCCTATGACACCTCTTAAAAGGGTAAGTGCTGTAACCTGTCCCCCTGACTATTGACTTCCTGTCCTCCATTCAGATTTGTCAACTACATAAACAACAAAGATTATACTAACTATACTTAAGTATTCAGCACTTACTTAAAGCATTTGTTAATCTCTTAACAATTTCTCTTTTATAACTTTTCCAGCATAACAACTCAAATACCTACTTCTGGATAAACAACAGTGCTAGTTTTAAAATCATGCAATTTCATTCACTACACTTCAATCTCAAGGCTCAGTCTTTTTTCTCTTGTGAGTTCCTAGACAGTCCTTTTTCTGACTGGTAGACACCCTACATTTCCCTACAACTAGGTCATTGCCAGACGTGGCAGGGCAAGTCTGCAATCCCAGCACTCGGGAGCCTGAGGCAGGATGATCAAGAGTTCGAGGCAAGCTGGACAACACAGAGAGAGTGTCTCTCTGGGGGGCTGAGGAAGGAGGAGAGCAAGTTTAAACTGAGCCTGAGCAACTTAGCAACTTGTCAAGACCTGTCTCAAAATTTCAAAATTTAACAAAAGGCTGGGGATGTAACTCAGGGCAAAGGTCCTGAGTTTAATCCCCAATAAAAATGGGGGCTTGGAGAGGTGCAGAGAACTAGGTCATTTTCTTAGTTATTCCTTTCCATGACACCATATTTATTCAATGATTCAATTATTCATTGCTTCCTAAAACCACAAGGAAACTGGTCATCTCCAAATCTATGACAAGGGGCTGGGGATTTAGCTCAGTGGCATAAGCACCTGCCTTGCAAGCACATGGTCGTGAGTTTGATCCCTGGTACCGATAAAAAAAAAAAAAAAAAAGACAAATCTATGACAATATTTTAGTGGCATGCTCTTGTACAGTTAATTAAGTAAACAGCCACTGAGAGCCTACCTCATGCTGGCTTCAAAAGGAAAACCTCTGCCTTCACAGAGTTTAAAACTCAGTCATTCAAAACACCAAATATATAAACATACATTATTCAGGAGAGATGAATGCTATGGATTTTAAACTGAGGTCAGAAAAAGCTACCTTTGAGAAAGTGACATGGATTACAACCACAGACTGTACAAGATGACTATTAGTAGAAAGTAATGTTTTAAGTATTTCCTATTAGAATGTATTAAATTGTATTCCAGATAACTAGATCAATACAGTGATATCTTCAAGACAATAGATAATCTACATAATTAAATTTACCCCTGGTCAGTTCAAAATTTCATTCCTACATTGATAACTACAGTTTATCAAAACATGTGGTTTGTTTTTCTATTATGAATACCATTTACATTTAAGAATAACTATTTTTCTTAGATGACAGCAAAAACATAAACTCGACATTCTTCAGCCACCTAAATTGAGGACAATTTGAAATATGAAATAAGTGAAAATAAAAGTGTTTCAAAACAAGGGACTGGGTGATTTAGCGCAGCAGCATAAGCACATGCCTTGCAAGCACACAGTCCTGAGTTCAACCCCCCAGTACCAAAAAACAAACAAACAAAAAAAAACCTTAATTAGGGGCTGGAGATTTAGCTCAATGGCATAAGCATCTGCCCAGCAAGTGCAAGGTTGTAAGTTCAATCCCCAGTACCAAAAAAAAAAACACAAAAACAAAAACTTAATTTTTAAATCAGGCTTGGTGGCACACCTATAGTCCTAGTATTCAGGAGGCTGAGGCAGAAAGATTGTTGCAAGTTCGAAACCAGCCTGGGATACAAAATGATCTCAAGGCCAACCTGAACTGCACAAAGGGAACAAATTCATCTCAAAAAAAAAAGGCAAAAAAAAAAAACCTTAATTCTTAAAAAACAAAAAGGATAGGGGCTCGGGATTTAGCTCAGTGGCATAAGCGCCTGCCTTGCAAGCAGGCAGTCGTGAGTTCGATCCCTGGTACTGATAAAAACGAAAAAGACAAAAAAAAAAGGAATTCTTGCTGGGCATGGGGCTGCACACCAGTATTCAGGAGGCTGAGGCCGGAGAATCGCTGAGTTTGAGGGCAGCCTGAACTACAAAGCCAGACTCTGACTCAAAAAAAAAAAAAAAACACTTAACCCTGTGTGGACTTTTTTGTTTTTGTCTTTTTGAGGCAAGGTCTTGATATGCAGTTCAGACTGGCCTTGAACTTACTTTGTAGCCCAGGCACTCACAGCAATCTCCCTGCCTCAGCCTCACATGTGTTGGGATTACAGGCATGCGCCACCACACTGGGCTCCTAGGTGGACTTTTTTGAGCTTGGATACACATTTAAAAGAATTTATTGATAACAGCAAAAATATACATTATTTACTATGCACTTTTCTAAGCACTTGCAAACATTAACTTGCTTAATAAACAAATATACACAACTCTTGCAAAAAAAAAAACTTCACTCTGAAAAAATATCAATGCAATTTACCTCACAACTATAAGAAATCACAGATCACAAAGTGATCCTAAAGTCTTAATTCTCAGTATGTAGATGTTGTCTATTTTGTGATGCCAGCCATTACACCTTGTTTTTAATTTTTTAAGAGTCCTTCTCAGATGACATTCTACAACAAAATTAAACACTAATGTCCAAAGGCACTTACTGAATGAATGAAATATTCTTCTAGGGATCTAGAATGGTACTAGCTATGTACTATCATCTTTGGGACAGTGAAAAAATAGGCATTCAAATCATTTTCTCACTATCAGAGAAGATGAATGGAGTAAAGGAAAATGGAAATGATCAAAGTCTTTACATGCCTGTAAGAATGTCAAAATGAACACACTTTTCTGCACTAATAAAAATGTAAAAATCATTTTCTGTTGTTCTGAATTTTCTTGAGGAATGAAGTATAAGAAAAGATAGAGAAAATTATACAAAAGGTAGAAGGAAAAAGCCAGATTTTCCCTAATGTAATAACAGATAAGAGATAAAATCTTTCCAAATAGTTCAATGTTTGATCACGTGTATAACTGATAAAGCAAGTCAAATCAGACTGACTGACTGACTGACTGATTGATTTTGTACTGAGAATTGAACCCAGGTCTTCACAATGAGCTACATTCCCAGCCCCCGTTTTATTTTGACAGAAAGGTCTTGCTAAATTGCTCAGGCTCCGCACATAACTTAGGATGCAACTGCTTAAGCAGGATTACAGGTTTGTGCCACCATGCCCGGCTCATATGTACGATTTTAAAAAGAACTTCCTATTTTGTGATAATATTAAGAAATGTAATATTCATAAACGTTACTACTTTAAAAAGAAACTTACTCAACGTTATAAATCAGGGAAGTATTTGCTGAATCACGTATGTATTGTTTCCTTTTACACTACCTGTAGTATAAAACAATCTGCAAAAATCAAGAATTATGCCTACTACACAAGTTACCATTACCCCCAAGTGTGTCCCTACAATCAGTTAAAAGTAGTCATCAGCTTACATGTAAAGAGAAGAGAAAGGGATCTTAACCAGGCGTTCTGAATTCACTGCTTCCAAGTTGGAGCTAGAGCCTACATTTAGCCAGTGTCTTGAGACAAATATGGAGAAGCCAAGAACAGTAACAAACTGCCAGTTTACTGAGTCATGTTTCTGACTAAAACTGTTTTATGGAATGGAAAGAATGACATTTGGGAGGTTTAATCATCACAGATGTAAACTCCCTGGCTGAAAGGGTCTCGGATGCAAAAGCCTTGGGTAAGAATAATGGGAGACTCCAAGGACTCCAGAAACAACTCATCAAAGCGGCTAACTGGTTATTTACCTAAACCCAATCCTAACTGGGCAAACAGTCACGCCCTGCGAGGCTGGCGAGCGCCAGCGCCAGGTGAGGACCGCGAGCGCCGCGAGGCACGCGGATGTTCCGGGGACCCCACCGCGCCGACGCCCCGCCACGGAGTGCAGCACGGACCGCCAGTCCGTCGCATCACCCGCCGCGGGCCTGGGGAGAACGCCCCCACCGCGAGGCCACCCGGAGCCGCGACCTCTGCCCCCGCCAAGCGACGCAGCCGCCCCCCGCCGCCCAGAGGTCGCAGGTCGCCACCAACTCGAGCCAGGAGGCGGCGGCAGCGGCCCCCGCCCGAGGCGCTAACTGACCTGGAGAGGTGCTTCAGGATCTGCTTCTTGATGATCCCGGCCATGGTGCCAGGGCGCCGGGAGCCGCGCGCTCTCGCCGCTCCTTACAGCCTCTTCTCTTCAGGGCCGTCTCCACTCTGACCGGACTCAGGCGGCCAGAGGAGGGGCGCCTGGGCGCTCACACCCGGGGGAGACTTGAGACCCCGGCTGAGGCTCCAGCAGCCGCCGCCGCCACCACTGACTCCGCCGGGAGCCCGGAGCATGACGTTCAGGCCGCCACACACACCGCCAGCGCCATCTTGGCTGCCGCATCACCTAAGAGACCGGGGAAGGAGGGGCGGGGCTGGGAGGTCGCGAGGCGGGGCCAACGGGAACGGGGCGGGGCCAGAAGTGGTTCTGCCACGGTGTGGGGCGGGGCCAACGCGAGGTGGGCTGGTCAGGGGGTGGGGCCATTTCTAATTTGGCGTGGGCGTGGGAGGCTTCCGACCACGCCCCCTTCGCCCGGGACTGAGTTAGATCGCTCTGCTGGGGGTCCTTTGACTCTCAAACCAACACCCTGCTTTAATTTGTTTTTTGTTTTTTGTTTTTTTTGAGACAGGATCTTGCTATGCAGTTCAGGCTGGCCTTGAACACACTTTGTACCCCCCAAGCTGTTCTTGAACTCCCAACAATTCTCCTGCCTCAGCCTCCCAAGTGCTGGGATTACAAGGTATGTGTCACTATGGCAGGTTTGGGTTTTAATCTCCCCTCTCTGCTCTCTCTGGCCTTTTTTCTGCCTGCTTGGTTCACTTTCCACTTCTGCTTTCCCTTCCCCACTCTTTTTCATTTCCTCAGAATTTAATTATCTGTGCTATAAATTGTTCTGCTGTCTTGCTCTATTGGACCTGCCTCAGCTTTATTCAAATGCCTCCCTGGGTTTCTTCTCATTTGCTAAAGTCTTCTATCCCTTAGCGAAATGCTAAAATTTAATGTCTCCCCCTAATTATTCCAATCCTAAGGGAAGTAAAAGCTGGCAACCTGTCTTAATAGACTCAAGACCTAGAAATTAGAAGGCACAAATTCAAGTCCTCACTTCAGTACCTGCCAGCTGTTAACCTCCAAGAAATTTACCCTCACTTTAAACATTTATAAAATAGGTTAATCTGACTTGCCTAGGTATAGTATCTAAAAAAAAATAAATATATAACTGTCCCTTGAAAGTTCTGTAAAAAGGAAGGAAATTGTCGAAAAAAAAGATTTACAATCCTGCACCTCCACCCCATCCAACTAAAACCAACTTGTTTTTCAGAGATGAGAATTACTACAGAGACATGTCTTAATAAAGGAAATTACACTGCTGCCTGAGGGATGCATCAGAAAGGTGTGTGCTGTGGTTGTATGGGGCGTTATACAAAACCCAACAGCCTGACTCTTATGCAGGTGTTTTTCTGAATGGAAAAGGTAAGGACCCAAGCCTAGTGGTTCAGTCTCTATAGTCCCAGCTACCTAGGAGGCTGAGACAGGAGGGTTGATTGAGACCAGAAAATAAGGAGAAACCTGGACAATATACCAAAACCTTGTCTTTTTATATTAATCAAGTTAAAATTTATTAGAAATGTTTGTCTTGCAGAATACAGAAAAAGTTACTTACAATCCAAGGCTTTACTTCAACCTGTGTATGTTGAGATACATACAGATACCTTCTTAGAATTTGGAAAACGTGGGCTGGGGATATAGTTCAATGGCACAATCGTCTGCCTGGCAAGCACAAGGTCATGAGTTCAATACCTGGTTCAAAAAAACAAATTGGAAAACATAGAAACTGCTAGTCTATATGTTGTTTGAATATACAATTTAATTGTAAAATATAAAAACCAATTAAAAACTTTTGTTACAACGATAGGAAAATGAGTATATGCATCAAACTTTTAAGTACAAGCTAGCAGAAAGATGACAGTTAACACAAATTTGATTCAGGGACTATATTACCCCATAATTTTTTTGGTCTTTTTTATTGTGTTTATGTATTTATGTATTTATTTTGAGGTAGGGTTTCATTATATGTATGGTTCAGGCTTGAACTCACTGTGTTGTCCAGGCTGGATATGAACTTGCAGTGATCCTCCTGCCTCAGCCTCTGGAGTGCAGGGATTACAAGAATATGCCACTACACCCAGCTATCCCATAATTACTAAAAACAGGAAACAACACAAAAATACTGAGGCTTACTGGCATATAAGAAATATGATTCAGTTCACTTGTGGCTATAACCTGTTGCAAAATAAATAATCAGTAACTTATTGCCCAATTTGATTAAAAGACAATGTTAAATTTCCATACTACTGCTTACAAGAATATGGAGAATCATGTGAGCTCAAAATTCTTACTGAAAAGTGAGCCTATATATTTACTTCAAAGATCTAATTTAAGAGTGAGTTTACTGTGTTTGTAATTAAGATATGTCATGTGTTTGTGTATTTTCTGGAGAAATAATTGACATATTTTTGTATGACTTACTTTATAGGTTTTTCACTGTGAACAATTTTAAGAGGGTCTTGAAATTGTGAACTACAACTGAGGTTGTATATGCTCAATGGTTTCATTTCTTTTTTTTTTTTTTTTTTTTTTTTTTGTCTTTTTCCTTTTTATCAGTACCAGAGATCGAACTCACGACTGCCTGCTTTCAAGGCGGGCGCTTATGCCGCTGAGCTAAATCCCCAGCCCTATGCTCAATGATTTGATCCAATATGCATTCTTCCATGTAAAACAATTCAAGACTTTTCTACAACCCTTTTGTTTTCTCACAACATTGTTCCAAAACCTTATCTTAAAATACATGGGAGGACCAAGGATGTAGCTCAGTGTCACAGGGCCTGCCTAGCAAGCATGAGGTCCTGAGTTCAATTCTCAGTACAAAAAAAGGAAAAAAAAAAAACAGAAAAAAAAAGGATAGACACACGGTTTGACTATTCAATCATTTAACATTTACCACACAGCCAGGAGTGGCAGTGCATGGCTGCAATCCCAGCACTCTGGAGGCTGAGGCAGAAGGGTTGCTGTGAATTCATGGCCAGCCTGGGCTACATAGGGAGTTCAAGGCCAGCCTCAACTACATAGCAAGATCCTGTCTCAAAAAACAAAATGAAGGCCATGGATTTAGCTCAGCAGCACAGTGCCTACCTGATAAGCACAAGGTCCTGAGTTTGATTCCCGGTACCAAAAACAAAACAAAACAAAAATCTCAAAAAGCATTTATCATGTAGCATAAACCAGGCACTGTTAAATATCCAGGACCTTCCGTACAAAACAAAACCCCCCAAAACCTGTTCTTCCCCTCACAGAGTTAACAGCCTAGCATTGATCCAAAGCCTAGGCTCTGTCCTTTGACCCTAGTTCAAATGCTGACTCATCACTGGGCCTGGTGGTGCATGCCCGCAATCCCAGGACTTGGAAGGCTGAGATACACGATATTTGCAAGTTCCAGACCAATCTGGGATACAAAATGAGCTGAAGGCCAGTCTAAACTGCCTAGCAAGACCTTGTCTCAAAAAAAAAAAAAAAGAAACAAAAGAAAAGAAGTTCTGGTTCAACAACTTGGTGACAGTGTAAACCTTGGGTGCAATTTTTAAATCTTTATCTCATGTGTCAGAAATAATACTGTGAGAGTCGACCCCCCTGCTACAACCCCCTCCCCAGAGCGGGGAATGAAAGGGTTAACTCCCTAACTCCCCAGAGCGGGGAATGAAAGGGTTAACTCCCTAACTCCCCAGAGCGGGGAATAGAAGAGTTGACTCCCTAACTTCCCAGAGCTATCAAAACAGAGCAGTAAAGAGTGCTTCACTCCCTAAACCTTTTCCCAGGAGATAGTCAGAGCGGGGCCAAAGGGAATGTCTCTGCTAGTCATTAGCCACTTGATGTTCTGTTCTTTGTAAAGATAGAGATAGGCAAAAGAATGTACTGTATAAACAGGACCAGGGAGCACCTGGCACTCTAAGGTCAACCCAAGACCCTCGGTCTCCATGGTTACTCAGCCCCAGACCCTCAAATCAGCATTAGCCAGGTCCTGCGCCGCTCAAAATTAACCAATGCGATTTGCTTCTGTAAACTTGCTTGCCTCCTGCGTGTACCTTTAAAAACCCTGCACAAATTCCCCTCGGGGCCCCTCCGCACACGTTTGCCTGAGGGACCCCATGCGCATGGAAATAAACTTTCTTTTCCTCACCAAGAGCTGAGTCCTTGGGGTCTCTTTCCCTGCGGCGTTGGCCCTAACAATACTATCTAACTCATGGAATTTTGTGAAGACAAACAAGAGCATTCATAAATTGTTTAACAATTTAGATAACGTATCACTTCATTATCTGCTAGATATTACTATTTATGATCATTATCAAAAACAGTAAACTACGAGTACAGAGTGATTCATTCAGAAACACATTTACAGTGGAGGTATTATTTCAAAGATAAGAGTAAATAGCTTTCAGTTGTTAAAAATATGTGATCCTGAAAATAAAGGATTGATTTTTAAATGTAGCTCTACAGATTTTTTAGTTACATAATCATAGTAAAGATATTCATCCCCTCCAAGTCTTGAAGTGCTATATACTTTCAAGAGTATTGAGATTAAACTAATAAAGCTAACATACTTGGAAGAGGGCCAGGCACAACAGAATGATAGCTACTATTAATCATGAGAAAGAAAAGGCTATTTTAGGGCCAGGGATTTAGTTCAGTGGCACAAGCACTTACCTGGCAAGCATGAGGTCATGAGTTTGATTCCCCAGAACCAAAAAACAAAAAGAGAAAATTTTATTTTATTGTTACATTTCTAGGGGTAGAACCTGGGACCTCTGGCATGGTAGGCAAGCATTCTACCCCTAAACTATGTCACAGGCCTGAAAAGAATGTTCTAGACAGTTGAAACACAATGATGAAAAAGAACAGGGGCTGGGGATTTAGCTCAGCGGCATAAGCGCCTGCCTTGTAAGCAGGCAGTTGTGAGTTCGATCCCCGGTACTGATAAAAAGGAAAAAGACCAAAAAAAAAAAAAGAGAACAGAAGTGTAAAAGCTATCTTAGTTACTGTTGTTGCTGAGACAAAATGTCCGACACCCAAAGTCAAAGGGGAAAAGATTTAGTGAGCTCACAGTTTGTACAGATTTCTGTCATAACTGGCTAGGTCCAAGACAGGGTGGTATGGCAGAGAGGCAACAGTTCATGCATTGGAAGACAGCAAAAGCAAGCAAGAGATAAAGGAGACAAGCCTCTTTCTACACCTTATATTGTATCCAGTCTACCAGGGTTAAGGTGGAGCCAATCCAATCATCAGACTGATCTGGAAATCACTGACCCTTTATCCCAGCACACTTAATCCCAGAATTGTATCACCAATCACACATTCAGGATTCAGCCACCTCTGAAAAAAGCCCTATGAGTCTTTGGGGGACATCTAGATACAAACCATAACAGCTTCTGTAGGTGACCAGTGGCCTACTGTGGGTAGAACAAGATATGAATTCGTTTGCAAAATAATAAACATTATAAAGAATTTTACAAGCTAATAGTTATATTTTTATTGTGAAAATAACAATTTCACTATTACCCTGAATTGAGAAAATACATAATACCACAAAACCAGCATAAATTCAGTGTGCTTTTAGGTAATTTACATGTGTATTAATTTCTAGTTAATTATCAAAGTGTAATTTTTTAAAAATCAAAAGCCTGTCATGTAAATATATAATGAATAATCAAAGATTAATTCACATTAATACAGGCCCAACAAGATAATATACAAAGTAAATTCACTCATCAATGACTTAATCTATTCCAAATGTTCATTATTAACAGAGACTTACATTTTTAACGATCTTAAATATGTGTAATTTCAGCATTCTGGGACATTGAGATGGAATTATTGCAAGTTTGAACACAGCCTGGGCAATTTAATGACTTAGTGTGAGCCTTTCTCAAAATAAATACAAAAATGGGCTGGTCATGTAGTGGGAGTACATCAGATTACCAAGGCCCCAGGTTCAATCAGGGTACTTTGAAAAAAAAAAACAGTAAGTAATTCTGGCTTAGGAGCTTAGGAGTCATATGTATTTAATGATAGCTAAAGCCAAGAAGAAGAATATTCTTTGATCATAGTACATGCAAGTGGTAAGGAAAGCCAAAAGATTAGATATAAAATTTATATTCTTTAGAGTAAGATATATTATCATTTTAATATTAAGTTGGAGAAAGTAGAACGACTAAATTTAGACAATTTTAAACATTCAGTGGATGGTTTGTCAATCGTGGGGTTTTTTTTTGGGGGGGGTAACCAGGGATCAAACTCATAATCTCATACTTGGAAAGCAGGTGCTTGTGCCACTGAGCTAAATCCCCAGTCCTCAGTGGATGTTTTGATACAAAGAAATACAGATACCAATAGATTAAAGTGCCTGACTTTAAGGAGTTTCCTACGTAGGAAGTTAAAAGAGGATGATTAGATGATAAAAGAGGATGATGATAACTCCTGGCCAAAGCTTGACTTTTACTATTTATTCTTCATAAAACAATTCAAGACATAATAAAAGGTTTTTAAAAATTCACTAAGGTGGGCTGGGGATTTAACTCAGCGGCATAAGCACCTGCCTTGCAAGCAGGCAGTTGTGAGTTCGATCCCCGGTACCGATAAAAAAAAAAAAATTCACTAAGGTAGTGTGACCAATATTAATTCCATTTTATATGAGTCCCAAGGCACAGTGCATTTAACTTATTCAAGACATTTAATGCCAGAGCCAGGACTTCACTCAGCAGTTTAAATTGTGCATTAATCTTTATCATTTTAATCACCCAAGGCTACACAGTCACTCTATGTTAGGTTCTGGATTCCAACCCAAATTCATTCTCTTAACTATTATGAAACATGGGCTATAAAAGGAAAACGTGGGAGGGAACCTAATTACAAGAAGTCGAAGAGAACAAGAGAGTATGGCAGATATTAACAAGCCCTTCTGAGGCAAGACTCGAAAACTAAGTCCTGAAACACAAGTAGCAGAAGAAGGAAATGTAAATGTGAGTTTAGAAACAAAGACGCTGACAAAACAATACATATAAAAATTCATGATGGCTGGGCCTCACAATCAGATGTGTAGTGCCAAAGAATAAGGATAGAGACTTCACACCCAATTCCACACTGCAATGGTTTTGCATTTTTTTTTTTTTTTGTCTTTTTCATTTTTATCGGTACCGGGGATTGAACTCACGACTGCCTGCTTGCAAGGCAGGCGCTTATGCCGTTAAGCTAAATCTCCAGCCACGGTTTTGCATTTTATGGACAATATTATTCACAGATATACAGCCAATCCGCTACCAGTGTCAGAAGAAACTTGCAGGCGCGAATTAATCTGAAAAGTCAGGAAACTACCAAACAGAAGAAAAAGCACTTTACTGTTTCTCCTCTAGACGAATCTCTTCATCACCTAAAAAAGTTAGCATTAAAAAGTATATACTGGTTTGGGAGATCCAAACAAAACAGGCTGCTCACTGACTTAAGAAGGCCGCTCAACTGTCTTGCTTCTGGCGTCCTACGTTGCCATGGTAGCCGGACGCGCGCTCTGTTGCTCCGCCCAGTATATCATAGAGAACCGGAAGAAGCTTGAGCAGAAAGGCCCGGAAGGGGACGCCACTGCTGGTGTGGAGTGGTTTTCGCTAAAATGACGACTTTAGTTTTGGATAACGGAGCCTACAATGCTAAAATCGGGTACAGCCATGAAAATGTCTCGTAAGTGTTCGAACCTATTTTTCCATGCCACGTTTTCTCTCCGGATATCTGTGAACTGAATATGCGCTCACCGGGCCCTAATCGGAGCCCGAGGGATGCTCTTCCTGGCTGAAGCCGGGATGGTAGTTGATGCTTTGAAATGAAATTGACTTTGATTTAGTTTGAGCTTGTGCGCTCTGGAATTGGGGTGTGTGTTTCGTTTTGTAACAGAAACTAGCCAAGGTAGGCTTTTTAATGATGCGTTCCTCAGGAAATGACAGAAAAGTTCATGAACCTTCAGAAGTGGGCAACATTGTATTTATTTCCTGGGGACGCCATTGTAAGTTTCATTGGTTCTTCAAAGGGTCCGATGACTCACAAAATCAAAAAGCTACCGTCTGAGGGTATAGAGACTTGCAGGTTTAGGCTGGCCTGGTTGACACAGTTAACTAAACAGAAATATTGTATTACAATGTATTCGTAAGCTGCGTATTTTTAAAACTTCAATTTTTTTCAGAGTTGAGCTGCAAACTTAGGGTCTTACGTGTGCTACATGAGTGCTTTATTACTGAGCTACCCTCCAGCCCTCATTTCATTTTAAAAAAGGAACTCAAACTGAATAGGAATGCAAATTGTTAGTCTTCTTGAAAACATTTTGACAGTGTATATCAGTGACATTGCTAAGTCTTTTTTTTTGTTTTGGTCTTTTTGAGATAGGGTTTCACTATACAGTTCAGGTTGGCCTTTGACTCATTTCGTACCCCAGCCTGGCCTCAAAATTGCAGCAATCTTCTTGCCTCAGCCTCCCAAGTGCTGGGATTACAGGTGTGCATTACCATGCCTGCCTGGCATTTGTTGATAGCCTTTGACAGCAATTTTGGTATCACGGTATCATCTAGAGGTATTTGATAAGAACAAGGATGTTATTTTTTATTTATAGACATTGTGTACAGTTAAAAAATAAAGCAAGCAAATACTAGGAAATTCGTTAAATGCATTATAATACAATTGTTAGATTAATAGCGTAGCTCCTTTATTTCATTTGTGGTGCTAAGGATTGAACTCAGGACTTTGCTCTTTAGCAAGTGCTCTACTGCACCAGAAGCTTCCTTGATACCCCATGATCTCCTCCACTCCTTGGGGCTACTCTGTTTCTTAGTTTAAGAAACAAGGTTTCAAAAAAAAAAGAAAGAAAGAAAGAAGGTTTCACTGCATTGTCCAGGCTGACCTTAGTCTGAAGGTTTAGGGAACCTTCCTGTGACAGTTTCTGAGCATCTGAGATTATAAAAACATGACACCACGGAGTGTCATTCAGCTTCTTAAAATTATATTCTTAAAGAAAAACAAGTAGGGAAAATGCTTGTAATAAGTGAAATAAGGAAATACAAAACATTTGTAGAGTGTTCTCCCAGTAGTGTGGTGTGCGTGCATACAGGGTACATACCTGTGTGTATAAATAGCCCTGATGTATTTTTCTTTACAGAGGAAGTTCATGATGGGCTACAACAATATTTATTTATTTATTCATTCATTCATTCATTCATTTTTTCGCCTGAAGAGGACAGCCGGCACCCTTTTGACTGAAAATCTTTTGCTTTATGGAGACTTAATTTTAGGTCAGAGTTTTGAACCTGTGAATCTGTAGCCTGAATGATGTTATAAATTTCCATATTGGCTGGGGATATATCTCAGTGGCATAGAGCCTGCCTGGGGACCGTGAGGTCCTGAGCTTGATTCTTGGCTCAAAAAAAAAATAAAAATAAAAATAAAAATAAAAATAAAAATAAAAAATTTTCCACATTACAACCAGGACCTTTATCAAAACCTGGCTCTCATGTGTGCAGTAGCCGAATTGAACCTCACATCTAAGCATCTCTTGAAGATGTTTTGAGAAAGATAAAATGTCCAGTATAGATTAGCTTAAATATTAGAATTGTAAAACAAAAGCAAAAGAATTATTTTAATTATCTCAAGACAGAATGAGAAACACTGGTGTTGGATGGCCTTATTATGTTTTGGTCCTGAGGGTGATGGTTAAGTGAGGATATTTTGAAAAAGTAAATATTTCAGGTATAATTGTGTTCTTTATTCTAGGGTTATTCCTAATTGTCAGTTCAGGTCAAAAACAGCTCGTCTTAAAACATTTACTGCTAACCAGATAGATGAAATAAAAGATCCTTCAGGACTCTTTTACATCCTTCCTTTTCAAAAGGTAATCCAATCGTGTCATTTCTATCATTAGAAACCTAGATTTAAGTGTAATTTGTAATTATATGTATAAGACTGTATTTGTGTGAAAATATTTTTGAATTTCTGAGAAAAGTTGACTTAAATTTTAACCAAGATCTACTTAAAACCAAAAATTGAAATTAAATTGCCTTGGTAAAAATAAAAGGCCATTATTTGGCTGTTTGTGAGTACTGAATTTTACTTATGTTAAATGTATGTAAGTGGTATTGTACACATTAAGACAAAAGAATAGAAAATGCTTTATATAGTATGTCTTTTACATTTTGGTTGTTGTTAATTTGTAATTATTTTGAACTTTAACAACAAAAATAACAAGGTAATTAGTTTGAAATTCACAAAGCATTAGACTAAAAATTACATTAGACGTAGACCTAAAGAACATTAGATATAATCTAAACCATTAGATATAAAGAACTAGAAAGATGTAGAATTATTATTAATCTGATTTTTAAGAATTGTTCAAATATTCTTGATAATTAAGTTTATTAAAGTTTTTTTTTTAGGGCTACCTGGTAAATTGGGATGTTCAGCGACAAGTTTGGGATTACCTTTTTGGAAAAGAAATGTATCAGGTAACAAAGTAGAGTATATTTTGAAATTCTGTTTCTGTGTCTAATTCAAGCTAAAAATTAGAACTTATATTTAAGATTTATAAACTTAGCAATGTGTTTTCATTTAATTTTGCCTATCTTTGACTTTATAAATACTTAATAAATGTAAATGAATAATATTTCCATGTTAAAGAGGAAATTAATTAGAGATTTTCCATATGAAACTTCAGATTAAAACTTAACCTCAGGGGCTGGGGATTTAGTTCAGCGGCATAAGTACCTACCTTGCAAGCAGGTGGTTGTGAGTTCGATCCCTGGTACCGATAAAAAGAAAAAAAAAAACTTAACCTCAGATTCCACCCCCCTTGATGTTGGATTTGAACCCGGGGCCCTACACATGATGTAAGAGTGCTTTACCACTGAACTTATTTTTGTGTTTTCAAGACAGGGTCTCACTAAGTAGTGCAGACTGGCTTTGATCTTGCTTATATGGCCCAGGCTGGCTTCCAGTTCTTGGCAATTCTCCTGCCTCAGCCTCTTGAGGGCCAGGATTACGGATGTGCACTACCACACCTGTCAAGGCTTTGAACAGAACATCCAGCACAACAGGAGCTTTATCTGCTTTGTCAGTTGGCCCTCCTATATCTGTAGTGGCAAAAGACTTTTCTCTATGAGGCTGGAAATGCCTCTGTCAATTAACTCATTCACCCTGCCCTGGACAGCTGCCTGACTGTGTAAGCTCTTACAAGCACAGACCAGAAACAGAGCCAGGCATGGTGGTGCTCAGGACGCTGAGGCAGTGGGATCCCTAAGTTCAGGGCCATCCTGAACTGCATAGCAAGACTCTGTCAAAAGCTGGGCGTGGTGGCACATGCCTGTAATCCCAACACTCAGGTGGTGAGGCAGTAGGATCATTGTGAGTCCAAAGCCAGCTTAGGCTACAAAGTTAGTTCAAAATCAGCTTGAACCATATAGTGAAACCCTACCTAAAAACAGACCATGTCAAAGAAACAAACAGAAGGAAGGAAGGAAGCAGCTCACTGTTGTTTGGTGCCAAGAAAGAACTTTGTATGGTCAAGGGAATGTACCCCCTTAAGACACCACTTGCCCCTGGACCAGAGTTAGCAGTATCACCACCTTGCGGAGAACAGGCAGGCTCAGCTGGGTGGTGGTGCCTGGGGTAGGAGTCCCGTTGTGCCTGTTGTCTTCCGGCCAGCTCTGTGTTAAGGTGGGGGTCAGCTGCTGTACCATCAAGGGAAGGTTAAAGTGGGAAGCTTGTTCCCCCGCAGACCTGCGACGCCAGCGCTTCACCGAAGCACAGGCGGAAGATGGGCACTGTGGCTAAGCTGGCGGAAGCTGCCAAGACCAATTTGCAAAGACGCATGATGAGAGCCACCATCAGTGGGGAGGTCGTGCCCTGGTCCTGCCTCTGTGGCTTGTACTGCCATGGCGGATAAGGCACCGCCACTGCATTTGGTTACGCATATACTGTTGAGTTTTCTGGATATAAAATTCTCCAAAAAAGCCTCCCTGGAAGCTTCTTGCCATTTTTCTGTTAGAAATAGAATAATAGTGGTTCCACCTAAATCGTTTGGTACTTCTGTGCGAATACCTTTAACCAGTTGGCAGTTGCATTTTACTAATGCTGCCAGGGTTGCATAATAGTTTAGCGCACAGATTTTGTCTGTCAGTGGGTGTTTTGTTTTGTTTTGTTTTGTGTGCATATGATAATAGGGACAGAATGCAGAGGGCCCTGCACTGTGTCTTCCAGTCCTTTTTGTCTTTTTCTTTTTCTTCCAGGCTACCATTAAACTTTTTCACCCTCCTACCTCAGCTGCCCAATAGCTGTGCACCTCTGTGCCCAGCAGCACATAGGTTCTGTATTTGCACTCCCTGGGTTCAAATCCTAGTTTGTCCCTAAGCAGCTTATTCAACTTTGCTGTGCCTCAATTTGCTTATCAATTAAATGGGGATATAATCATTAGGATTATTGTGAGGATTAAATAATTTTGTATAAACCTGTGTAAAACCAGTGTTGATGATAGTCACTACAAAATATGAAACTTTGGGGTTTTTTTTTCCTGTAGGTTGATTTTTTAGATACTAATATTATTATCACAGAACCATATTTTAACTTCACTTCAATTCAAGAATCAATGAATGAAATCCTATTTGAAGAATACCAGTTCCAAGCAGTATTACGAGTAAATGGTAAGTTAATGTTTTCACTGAAATGGTATTATGTTGATATGAGTGTAGTAAAAGAAACTTAAAATCCTAAATACTAAGTGGAATTCTTTAGGTCTAAATAAAACAATTTTAAAACTAGACGGACCTTTAGAAATTGTATAGCCAGACCTCAGTCTTTTTACTAATATATTTCTCCTAAGTGAAGTTATTAGATATTTGTTCATTTATTTTGTGTGTGTGTATGTGTGTGTGTGTGTGTGTGTGTGTGTGTGTGGTGCCTCCCCAGCCCAAGACATTTATAACACTGTCTAAAAGATTAGCCTGAGCTACTTTTCTGTCATTCACCTGTTGGATACTGTGTTTTTGTTTTGGTGGTGTTTTTGAGACAAGGCCTTGCTCTATAGCTCAGAGTGGCCCTGAACTCACTGTGTAGCCTAGGCTGGCCTTGAATTTGTGTTTCTTTTGCCTCTGCCACTCACATGCTGGGATTACCGGCCTGTGCTGCTATGGCTGGTTTGAGTTTGCCATTATTATTAATGTTTTAAATAATGTTAATAGCTTTGGTTGCCAAAGTGAGGGAAAACATTGGTAAATATCTAGAAACAAATTTGTTAAAGGCTAGGACTGCATTAGCTGAGTGTGTCCAGTGAAAGTATTTAAATGGTTTGCTTGCAGGGGTTACGTCCGCATAGGAAACAGTATGTGGCAGAGGTTAAGAGTGTAATCTTCGTGAGTGTCCTAATTTAGACCAGGGGTAATTTTCCTCCCTGGGGACAGTGGTGACGCCTGGAGCTGTTTGTAGTTATTACACTTGGGAGGGTGCTGCTGACATTTATAGGTGGGGCTTGTCAGTGTTGCTAACTGTGTGATCCACAAGAAAGTCCCCCAAAGGAGTTGCCCAAAATGCCGTGGTCCCAAATTGAGAGACCCTGCTTTGAAGTCACTGACTGTTTAAATTCTGGTTCTGCCACGTCCTACCTGTGTGGCGGGGACACTTGCTTCTCTCTGCTGCGCTCGGTCCCCGTCTGTAACGGGAGTGCTGTGAATGTGAAAGTACGTGGCGTGCTATGTTCACTGCCTACCTATAGAGTTTAGGATAGAGCCTGACGTGTAAATGCTCAGCAGATTGACCGCTCTGTAATTGTTATGAGCATGAAATTGCCCTTTACAAACCGATCACATCCGGCACTCTGAGGCTGAGACAGGAAGATTCCAAGTTTGAGTACATCCTGGGCAACCTAGCAAGAGCCTGACTCACATGAAAATGTTTTTAAAAAGTCAAGAACAGGATTCAGTGTTTACACTTTAGGCCCTGCACGCAGTCCCCAGTATTGGGAAAACAGAACAACTGATCGTGAATTTTTCTTTTTTATGTTTAAAACACAGGTTTTAATTGTAGAAGTTTAAACATTATAAAGACCTTGTGACATTAGTGAATATTATCATTTAACATTTTTCTTACAAATAATGAGAACTTTGTTTGCCTTAGTGTTCTCTATTGCTTTAAATGGGCTACTTTTTATTTAAAATGCTCTCTCTCTTTTTGATAGCTGGAGCTCTGAGTGCACATAGGTATTTCCGAGATAATCCTTCTGAATTGTGCTGTATTATTGTAGACAGTGGATATTCTTTTACACATATAGTTCCTTATTGTAGAAGTAAAAAGAAAAAAGAAGCAATTATTCGGTGAGTTGCATTTAATTTTTTTTCTTATTTCATGTTATTTTCATGTTATCTCTTAGGATGAAGTGTGTGATAACTGAACCAAAGTTGAATTCTCCTCTTTTAGGATAAATGTGGGAGGAAAACTCTTAACCAACCATCTGAAGGAGATCATCTCCTACAGGTAATGCTTGCTCTTGAGTCTTTGAGAGGTTAGGATGCTAGAATGAACTTTATAAAGGAATTAAAATTCTTTTTACTTTTAGTTGTAACTGCAAATAGCAATTCTTTCTTTTTGCTTAAAAACTGATGTTTCAATTGCAAAGCTACTTGGAATTGGATAGGGTGGCAAAAATGCATATATAAAGATAATAATATGGAATATATTAATCATTGTTACTTTCCTATTATTGTTTTGAAATTTTGTTTTAATTTTTTTCTCTTCAAAATAAAATTTTTTAAAATGCATATAAAATAAAAGGATCTAAAAAGGGAAATAGATCTCTCATGTCAGAACCCTACACAAAGTACAATATTTGAATTATATCTATGTTTATGTTTTTAACCTCTAAGCTTTTCTGAACTAATATTGACAATTCACTATTTGTAAAAAAAATTTTTTTATGAGAAATTTAGTGCATTTAATCATCTCCTAACTTCCTCTAGCATCCTGAATTTTACTTTGGCAACTACTTTTAGTATCAGTGTTTTTAAAAGATTTAAGTAAATTTTTATTTTTAATTTATTTATTGAGACAGGATTTGGCTATGTAGCTTATGTTGGCTTTGAACCCAATATATAGTGTAGGCTGGCCTTAAACTCATGGCAATCCTCCTGCCTCGGCCTCCTGAGTACTGGAATTATAGGCCTGTGCCATGAAGCTGGGCTTTGAATGGCATTTGTAAATCTCAGTTTCTTGAAATACTCACTTTGGATGGTAGAGGCTGGGGATGTAGTGAAGTGTGAAGGCCCTGGGTTCAATCCCTAGTACTGCACGCTTCAAAAGAGTTTTAAAACCTCTGTATTGTCAAAAGCCCTTGTAAACAAAACTAAGGTAAATAGAGACCTGAGAAGCAGGCTGAGACCCTCCATGGTGCCGGGAGTTGGCATGTTAGTGCCGCCGAGCCCCTGACGCAGTCAGTGTACTAAAGGGAAAGGCTGACTTGGGCTGGGGTCCTGGGCTGCAGTACACTCCCTAGACCCTGCTGCTCCTGGCTTCAGCAGCACAGTGCATCACTGGGGGACCTGGGGCGCAGAGAGGACTCCCTGCGAGTGGCTAGCCTCCCTGGTCCTCTTCCGCCATGCTTCTTGCAGGCTTCCTATTGCCCAGCAGCCCCGAACTGAGGACACCCTTTAAGACAGGGCCTAGGGGCAGACTCTAGAGCCAGAATGCAGCATATGTGGTTGTTATTTTTATCCTATCAGGAGAGTGTGTCAAGCCAGACTGAGGGCACGTGCCTGTGATACCAGCACTTGGGAAGCTGGGGCAGGGGGATTGCATGAGTTCAAAGCCAGCCCAGGCTATAGAACAAGACCTCAACTCAGAAACAAAAACAACAAAGAACAGAAACACCACAATTAAATAATTCTTAGGGAATTACATACAGTTAAAAAAAATACAAATGGATAATTTCCAGACCTACAAAATGTTAATTTGGGGGGGTACTGGGGATCTAACTGACAACCTCACACTTGCAAGGCACATGCTTGTGCCACCAAGCTAAATCTCTAGCCCAAAATGTTAAATTCTTAAAGTAATCATGGATTCAGTTTAGCAGATATTTCTTATTTACTTAGGATCTCAGGATACATAAGTCAGCGAAACAGAGCAGGATCCTCGTCCACATAGCTCCTCCCAGTAGAGAAAACACCAATTAAAGTACCATTTTTACAAGCTGAAGTAATAGAAGTTTTCAGAGGACAGTGCTGCATCTTTTTTATGAGAGACTCTTAACTGCTGATCAGGCATAACTCTGAAACTTTCCTGGTAAACACTTTGGCAGTACACTAAATGATTACAATTACACCTTTTGTCACAGAAAATGAATAAATAATGAAATAATCAGAGGTGCAGATGAGAATTTACCTCTTTTTCATCTGAGTGACTTTTTTTTTCAGATTTTAATCTCTGAAATTGAGATGAACTTTCCAAACTGTGATATCTTAGAATTGTAGTTTAACCAGCAGTTTTTCTTCTCAATGTACAATGGCACATTTTAGAGAAGATGAAATATTACATGTGTTAAATAAGAAGCAGTAATGGTTTTATTAAGCACTGAGACTATAGTAAACACTTTACCTGTCTTACTGCACAATTGTTTGCTTCTTTTATTTTAATTTAGTTTGATTACTCGATCCATCGATTGATTGATTGATTGATTGATTGATTGATTGATTGAGGCAGGGTCTTACTATGTAGCTCAGGCTAACCTTGTACTCACTGTGTAACCCAGACTGTCTCAGTGTCCCCGATGCTGGGCTTATAGGTGTGTACACTATGCCTGGCCCCTGTGTTTTCTCTAACTCAGTCATCAAATTCAAAAATTAAACGTTGCTTGTATGCTAGGTACTGTGTGCTGATTCATAATGCTTCTATAATCAGAAAAGAAATCTCAAAAGAGTTAAGGCAGGGGCTGGAGGTTTAGCTCAGCGGCATAAGCGCCTGCCTTGGAAGCAGGCAATCGTGAGTTCGATCCCTGGTACCAATAAAAAGGAAAAAGATAAAAAAAAAAAAAAAAAGAGTTAAGGCATTCGCGCGATTCTGTTTGGAATAGAGGAATACTATGGAGATGAAATAAGATAGTAAAAAGCATCAGATGTGTTATATATATGGGCCACCTCTACAATGAATGTAATCACTGTGTACTACAAACACATACTGATAAAAAATTTAAGAAGTGTGATAATGAAAGTGAGCATATTTCATAAAGTTAAAAAATGTTATGCATTGAAGAAGTTAGCTGGGTCTGGGTGTGGTAATGCAGGTCCGTAATCCCAATACTCGGGAGACTGAGGTAAGAGGATTGCCACAGTGCAAGACCAGCCTGGACTATAGAGCAAGACCTTGTCTCAAAAAAATTAATCAAATAAGTGTCAAATGTTTGAAAAAAATCAGTTACCTGAAAATTTAATTCCAGAAAGCATAATTAAAATGTTAATGATGTTATTTTGTCCCATTTCAAATTTTATGATGTTTATTTCTGTAGGCAGCTACATGTTATGGACGAAACACATGTTATTAATCAAGTGAAAGAAGATGTGTGCTATGTGTCTCAGGACTTTTACAGAGACATGGATATCGCAAAGTATGTATAAGGGTAAACCGAGAATTGGAAAGTTGATTTTTGAATGATGCATCCTATATTTAAAATAGTTAATAAAATCTCATGTTTTGTCTTACAGGCTAAAAGGAGAAGATAATACAGTGATGGTAGACTATGTTTTACCTGACTTTAGTACAATTAAGAAGGGCTTTTGTAAGGTAAATTGAAAAACCCTTGCCATACAGAGTGGTGCATGCCTATAATTCTAGCACTGTGTAAGGCTAAAGCAGGAGGAGTCCAAGTTTAAGCCCAGCATGGGCAACTTACCAAGACCCCGTCTCAAAATAAAAATACAAAAGGGGCTGGGGTGTAGCTCATTGCAAAAGTCTTGGGCTCAATCCCTAGCACTACAAAAAGCAAAGCAAAAACAAAAAAACCCTCCAGAGGGCCAGGGATATATATATAGCTCAGTGACACAGTGCCTGCCTGGCAATTGAAAGCTCCTGAGTTCAATTCCTAGTACAAAAAAAAAAAAAAAAATGCACCCTCAATAATATTTTTCTTTTTTCTTTTCTTTTCTTTTTTTTTTTTTTTGGTACAGGGATTGAACTCATGACCTTGTGCTTACCAGGCAAGCGCTCACACCACTGAGCTACATCCTCAGTCCTTTGATAATATTTCTTTAAATGATGACCTCAGTCAGATTTGAAAAGCATTTCCTGTCTAGCTGAAGTTTGCAGGGTTTTGAAGTTGTTAATGACTGCCTTTCTGATGGCCATTTCTCCAGGCAGAAGTGAACAAATTTTATTAGAAGTTTTTCAATAAATTATTCAAAAAAATCTATAAGCTTCACGATACACATGAGATAAATGTTAGAAATAAACAGAATCATTACCTACATTATAATTAACTTTTTGTTTATTTATTTGGTACCAGGGATCGAACTCAAGACCTCGTGCCTACCAGGCAGGTGCTTAAGCCACTGGACCTATAATTAACTTTTTGGTTAATTGTATATTAACATACTATCTATATCCCTGGCCTTAAGAATTAGCACAGCTGGGCGTGGTGGCTCACGCCTGTAATCCCAGCATTCAGAAGGCTGAGGCAGGAGGGTTGTTTGGAGTTCAAGACTAGCCTCGGCTACAAAGTGAGCTCAAGGCCAGCTTGAACTGCACGATGAGACACTGTCTCAAAAAGACAAAAAATAAAATTCGTGTAAATCTAACTAGAAAAGCTGGTTATTTTCCTGGTGTAAAAATTGCTAACATAGCTGACCCTGGACTGAATTTTTACTGGAGCTCAGTCCCTTAGGATCAGGTTGTAGTCGAAAAGGGCAAAGTCTGGATAGGGGTGGACCTCTGCAGCAGAGCACTTCTGGCGAGGCCCTGGTTCAGTTCCCATTACCACCGAAAGAGGGAGAACACGGAAAAGGGCAAATTCCAGCGCACTCTGAAAGTGTTGAGAAACAGCGTGCCTGGGATGTCACCTTTCATCAGCTGACGTAAAGACTGTCCCGGGTAAATGTGAAGTCTGCACTGCTATTACTGCCTCCCTAAGGCTGGGATTTAAAGATCTTTAGTCAGAAATGTAAGGCGACATTTATGATATCATTCATTATAGGATACTGAAAGATTGGGATCAGCTTCCCCTAACAGAAGGAGAATAAATGATTTTTATGTATTCATAGTATAAAATAATATGAAATAATGGTCAAATTCTACAAACATTTAATAGCAACTTTTAGAAAGCTGTGTGTGCTTTCAGTCTGCACAGAATAATTTATGTTGTTTAGGAGCACGTGAGTATGAAGTATAGGTAAAGGAAGTGTGAGAGCACGTATGTGAGTGGTGAACACCCAATTTAAAGAAAGGAGGGTAACTGGTTTGTAAAGCTGCATCAAGCTGGGCGATGCATACATGGTTTAGGTAACTATTTATCTTGACCAGATTACAGAGATGGGGGCTGGGGATTTAGCTCAGCGGCATAAGTGCCTGCCTTGCAAGCAGGCGGTCGTGACTTCGATCCCCGGTACGGATAAAAAGGAAAAAGACACACACACACACACACACAAAAACAGATTACAGAGATGAAACATGAGTCTTATTTCAGCAAGAACTGACCCAAACATTGAGACACCAAGTCCTTATCTCGTTAGACACACTTGATCATCTTCCTATTTTATAGCTGATTCAAACAGTACCGTGGCCAGGGGCATTGGCACTCTCCTATAACCCCAGTGACTCAAGACCAATGCAGGATCGCAAGTGTGAGGCCAGCCTGGGAAATTTAGTAAAACCCTGTCCTAAAACAAAATAAAAATGGTTGGGAATGTAGCTCAGCGGGAGAGCACCTGCCTAGTATAAAGCCTTGGGGGTGAATGCCTCATACCGCAAAATCAAAGTAAATGCACTCTAAGTTAGCAGTGGTATTCTTCATTTCCATAGGAATGGATCTGAGTAATGTCTCGTGACTGCCAGTCTCCCCAAAACTTACTGAGCATGGGAATCCTAAGGGCATTAAAAACAAGCTGAGCTTGGTGGCATATACCTGTAATCCCAGGACTCAGAAGGCTGAGGCAGGACGATCACCCCAAGTTCAATAGCAGTCTGGGCTACACAGTGAATCCAAAGCCAGCCTGAACTACATAGCAAGATTCTGTCTCAAAAAAAAAATCAGCAAAACCAGAAAATGCTCCCACACCTATGATCCTAGCACTCATGAGGCTGAAGCAGGAGGATCACAAGTTTGACACCAGCCTGGTCTACATAGTGAGATGCTGTTCCAGGGAAAAAGGAGTTTTAAATGCTTGTGGAAAAGCTATAACCTTGATTTTTTAGTGCTTATGGTGGTAATAATAATAAAAAAGTGTCATTACTATTTAAAACTGATAGAAATTCCAGTTTTATCTGTTACCAGAAAGAGGCTGTCTGCTAGTGTGTGATCCATTTGTTGAACCTAAGTTGAAAAACAGCCCCTGTTGTTAATACTGACTGCTTTGTGCAGAGACCTTACAACATAAACTGAGGCTGTGCAACCATCAGGATCTACACTGATTAAAACAACAGCTCCCGGCAGCCCTGACAAATGCCTTCCTTTGCTTGTGTCTAAAAGAAATCTCCTTGGAATTAGACTCTCAGAGACAGAACCCACTGGCACGAGATTATATATTAACGACTAATGGCTTTAGCCTGACATTCAGCAAGGACAGCTAGGGCCGGCCCTTTACGCAATCCTTGTCTGTAAATCAGGCTGTAACCCAGGTGACCTCCAATCCAATGTTTTGTCAGCTGGAAGGCCCCAAGTCTGCATCCATTTCAGGTTGGGTGTTGACAAAGTGAGTTGTATCCCTTAAATTCAAACCAATCGCTGTTTTTTGTTTCTTTGGCACTAGGAAAGTTTTTTCCATTCTGCTGAGGAAGAAAAAATATTTTTGTGCAGAGTGATAAGCTTCTTGTTCTATACCAATAGTTTAATTGTATTAAAAATGATTTATAGCCAGGTGCGGTGGTGAACTCCTGTAATTCCAGCATTTAGGAGGCTGAGGCAGGAGGATTGCTGTGATTTGAGGCCAGCCTGGGCTACAAAGTGAGTTCAAGGCCAGTTTGAACTGCAGAGCAAGACTGTTTCTCAAAAAGACAAAACAAAATTTTAAAAAAACCTCAGTAATTTATAGTTTTCCTCATTCTCAGAATGTTGTGTAACTTCAGGAAATTTTTATTTAAAATAGTATTTGAGCACGGAATTTTCAAATGATGGAAAGCTAGATCATTTACAACCAGGTTAAGAGTGGCAGTGTATGGAATGTTTAACGGGTTATTATAAGAATGATCTGGAGCACCTCACGTAACCTTGCTGAGCACAGCTGGAAAGGACAAGAAAGCTGGGAGCAGGGCACACAGCTGTGATCCCCAACCCAGCAGGCTGGGCTAGGAGGGTCATGGGACCGAGGCAGCCTAGCGAGTTCAAGATCAGCTGGACTAGGTAGCAAGACCTGGCCTCAGAAAAACCAAATGTACATGCAAACACAAATAAAATGCCTGCCTCTCAAGGTTGCGAGAGAGTTCAGTGGGCAGCTGGATGTGAAATGCCTAACATGGTTAACAGCACATTGTAGGGGTGCGTGCCGTTGTTCAAGAATTTCTCCAAAGTTGCTTTTATTTATTTATTTTTTAAAATTTTTTGTGTGTGATCTCAGGAATCAAACTCAGAACCTCAAGCTTGCCAGGTAGGAGCTGTGCCACTGAACTAAATTTTTAGCCAGGTGTGATGGCACATGCCTGTAATCCCAGTACTTGGGAAGCTGAGGCAGGAGGATCGTTGCAAGTTTGAGACCAGCCTGGGCTACAAAGTGAGCTCAAGGCCAGCCTGAACTGCACAGCAGGACCCTGTCTCAAAAAGTCAGGGGGGAAAAAAAAAAGAATTTTGTCCAGTACTGGTGGTGGCGGCTCCTGCCTCCTGCCAGGGAAGCTGAGGCAGATGACTGAGTTCAGGGCAAGACCTTATCTCAAAAGAAAAAGAGTTTATTGACTACCTGCTACGACCAGATAGTGTGCTGTGCCAGGGAGTAGATGTGTGACAGTGACAGTGCAGAGTGATGGTAGAGAACAGCAAAAGGTCCCTTTACGTGGAAGTCAGAGAACCTCGGAGGAAACTGAAATCCTACCAGACAAATTGCTGATTAGAGTAAGGAATCAATAAGTTTTACATACATTACTGTTTAATAATTGATACATCTTAAGTATTCTTATACTTGTTTTAGGCCTCAGATTTTTACTTAACTTTCATTTTATGGAGGGAAGTTTTAAAGATAAATTGGAGCAAAGAGAAAGGGATGGATAGTGAATCCCTGTGTTCGGACTTGTCACCGTGCTGGGTCTGAGATGGTCCCTCAAGTGGAAATAAGGAATTTAACCTTTTGACTCACGTTATGAAGAAGCATTTTCAGGCCCTGTCAGGGGAAGAGGGCTTCTTAGGGTTTTAGGGTGCCCTCAAGAGTGGAGTGCAGGCACTCAGAGAAATTAGATGCCCGAGTGTTTTTATATTTATAGAAACAGCAGGGTGTTTTTTATTTGGGAGGAAAATGCCATGTATAAGTGAGATGAAGCAAATGACCACCGCTGAAGTCAGAAGAGCTGGAGATTTGTAAAATTGGAAGGGACTGTATCGTGGTGTAGAACACTGGGAGAGAGTCTTTCACTTCCTTCTCTCCTGGCCCCTTGAGGAGCATAGCTCACAGATGGGCAGGTTAATAGAAAGTATGAATCAGAATATGAATCAGCTTTGGTTCAAGTTCGTATTTGCCATACTTAGACTTTGTATGAGTTAACAGGAACTTCAAGGTCAAAGATGGTGTGTTTGCTTAAATCATTTAAGAACTGATGTCCCCCCTCCCCCTGCGGTGAAACCCAGGGTCTCACAGGTGATCTCCTCAGCCCATGGTCTCTCACACAGTCATTAAGTCCCCCGTGCTGGGCTACAATTTGAGGTCTTCCTGCCTCAGCTTCCCAAACTGCTGGGATTACAGGTGTGATTTACCATGCCCAGCTAAGAGGCAGGTTTTCTATACAAGGAAAAGAAGAAATCCTACTAGAATGGAGCTACATGCCCCATAAACATCTAAAGTCAGAAAATGAAAGTGGATAGCGGTAGGAACATAAGATAATGGTAGGTTTTTTTTTTTTTTATTCGAAAATATGTTCTTTGTTCTCTAGAATTTCAAATCAGTATGCCAGTTAGCGGTGTATTGTGAAGTTTGTCTTCCTGTGTGCTTTTCTTTTTTAAAATGCCTGCGGGAAATCTATTAGATTATTTTGTAGGGGATGCCAGTTAGTCAGTAAGGTTTTGTATGTGCAGTTCTGGCCGCGGGGGAAGCCGTATTTTTCTGACTTTTGAGAATCCAGATGTTCCCAGGACATGGTCAAAACGGTACATTACATCTTCCGATGATCATTAGTCGTGTGATGTAGATAATGTAGCTCACCCTTCTTATTTGTCTTTAAGCCAAGAGAAGAGATGGTCTTCAATGGAAAATACAAGTCTGGGGAACAAATTCTGCGTCTGGCCAATGAGAGATTTGCTGTTCCAGAAATACTCTTCAATCCTTCCGACATAGGCATTCAAGAGATGGGGATTCCAGAAGCCATAGTCTATTCTATTCAGAACTTACCTGAAGGTACGTCAGCAGCGGATCAGTTATTGTAGTATAATATTGAAGAACAATGGTATTTTTCAGAAATCATGAGTTCAAGGAACGTGTTTCTTCAAAATAGATTCAGGCAAATGGCATCTGTTTCATTTGCGTAGATCTCCAGTTCCCGTAATACCCTTGAGTAATTCTTTCTTGACTGGTCTTGTATTATGAATTTTGTTTTAGTAAAGTACCATGTTCTGTTTAAACATGAAGAAATTTATCTTTCCATGAGTGTTCAGTTGCTACAGTCATCTTAGAAAAGTGTTTTTGTTTTAAAGACAGCATTGTGCTATGTAGTTCTGGCTGTCATTGGACTCAAGCCCAGTGTGGTGTCACCCAGCTGTGATTTCAGCATTCAGGAGGCTGAGGCAGGAGGGCAGCCTGGGCCACATAGTAAGTACAAGGCCAGCTTGAACTACATAGCAAGACCCTGTTTCAAAAAACAAAAACTTAGCTGGGCATGGTAGCTCACACCTGTAATCCCAGCACTCGGGAAGCTGAGGTGGGAGGATCATTTCGAGTTCAAGACCAGCCTGGGCTACAAAGTGAGCTCCAGGCCAGCCTGAACTGCATAGCGAGACCCTGTCTCAAAAAAAAGACCAAAAAAAACAAAAAACAAAAACTTTCTTTTTTTTAGCCAAAGTCTATGCAGCACAGAAATTCATTGTTTAGTGGCTTTCATTAATGAATGAGGTTGGTTTATTCTGTATTACATATTCATACAGATTAGTTTTACTGGGACTAGAATGCAGTGCTTCACACAATGTCTCCTGAAGCGTGATTTAAGTAAACGTCCTAAACTTTATGGTACTTTTATATCTTGTCTTCTTGCTTCATAAGTAACAGTGCATCGAAGGAAACGTAATATGTACACATACAGTGTGTTTTCCTTTCATTAAAACAAGAGAAACTCACATTAAAGCTATCATGTTAACAATTATTTCCCAACTATTCTCAAGATTAAAATTTTCCATTTTGCATAAAGTTGCGACCACAATATATACAATGTGTTGTACTGTGCTGCTTTAGTGCTGTGTCTTAAATCTTTAGTGCTAATACAAGGGAAGCATTAGGTGGGCAGGAGCTTTCAGAGGAGTGGCCAGCACCCATTCATCCTGGTAGATTTCCCACTGGGGCTTTTACTTGATAACCTGATAGCAATTTGTACTGGCCATCATGTAACTTAATGAGTATTTCCATTTCAACTCTTCCCTTTTTTTTGTTTGTTTGGTTGGTTTTTAAGACAGAGTCTCACTGTGTAATTTATGCTGGCCTTGAACTCACTATGTAGCCCAGGCTGGTCTCAAATTCATGGCAATCCTCCTGCCTCAGCCTCCTGAGTGCTGGGATTACAGGTGTGTGTCATCACACCCAGCTTCTTTCTTTACATGTCATTATGGGTTGTGGGATTTTTTTCACTATCAAAACTAAACAATAAATACATCTGTGTTAGATAAGATGGAAATTTGCACTTGCAAGTTAAAACATATCACGAAAGACCATTTTGGTAGCTTCTCATCTCAGCCTGCAGCATACCCTCTGCACCTTGAGGGTGAAGGATTAGAATGGCACATGTGTGCTGCAGAATGTTAATCATCTGTGTGGAGCTCCTGTGTGTGTGCGTGTGTGTGTGTGTGTGTGTGTGTGTGTGTGTGCGCGCGCGCGCGTGTGAGTGTAGTTAGTAGCTCACCCACCCTCACCTAGCTTAGTCTCTTCAAGATCTGTTAGGTCCTGCCTCACTGTTAATGTCTACCTGTGTAAACTCTAACCTCATTGCACATTGAAGAACGGACCTGAGGCAGTTTGTGGTTCCTGAACTAGGAACTGTAATCCACAATCATGTCTTACCTGCGCCCCCATCTGCGCCTTTCTAGAAAGGTGAGTGGCCAGACCGCCTAATGCTTTTTCTTTTTTTTTCTTTTTTCTTTTAAAGAAATGCAGCCACATTTTTTTAAGAACATCGTTTTGACAGGTGGAAACTCCCTTTTCCCAGGATTTAGAGACCGAGTCTACTCAGAAGTTCGATGTCTGACTCCAACAGATTATGACGTTTCCGTTGTGCTGCCGGAGAAGTAAGTGTCGCTCACCCGGAGGAAAGGCGCGTGTCATCTGGGGAGAAGGTGGTGCTCATGCTGCTTCTGCCATGTCGGCAGGTTTATTTTACCCACAGCATTCTTATTTTCCTTTCTCAAAAATTAGAATGATAAACTTCGTTTGTCTGTGCGTTAAATGGGATGAAATGCAAAACATCAGCAGTGGCATTTGTTGCATATTGAGTGTTCAGTTGAAATCACTTCCCCCTGGGAGGCTGAGGCAGGAGAATCACAAGTTTAAGCCCAGCATGGACAACTTAATGATTTAGCGTGTCTCAAAATATGTAAGAGGACTTGAGGATATAGTTCAATATAAAGGCCTTTGGTTCAATCCCAGCACCAAGAAAAAACTAAACTAAATTAAAAAGTTAAACCCAAGCTAGCACACACCTGTAATCCCAGCACTCAGAAGGCTGCCACAGGAGGATCACTGTGAGGTCTAGGCCAGGTTGGGCTGCAAAGTTAATTTAAGGACACCCTGAACTGCTTAGTGATACCCTGTTTCAAAAAGACCAAAAAAAAAAAAAAAAAAAGCCCTTTTATACCAGTCTTCATTCCTAACAGACTTTAACAGGCAAAGAAGTCAAGTTTTTATTTCTTTGATTTCTCCGAGATATGTAATTTTTTGATTCTATCAAAAAGTAGAAATTTAGAAATCAAATTAAGAGAAATTATGCCAATCTATAAATTGTTTTGGAATTTTTTAAAACTTTAAAAGCCAGGCATGGTGTTATATACCTATAATCCCAGCACTCAGGAGGCTGAGGCTAGAGTTTTACTTAGAGCTCAAGGTCAGCCTGGACTACTTAGCAAGGCCCTGTCTCACAAACAAAATTTAAAATTTTTTAAAAAATTTTTAGGTAGATGTGGTGGCACTCTGGGAGGCTGAGGCAGAAGAACAGAAAAGTTTGAGTCTGGTCTAGTTTACTAACAGTTTACTAATTTAGTTAGATCTTGTTTCGATAAATTTAAAGAAAAAGGTCCTACCTGACATGAGTTAGATGCTTCATTTATATAAACACAACATGGCATAGCAGCAAAACAGACTGAAAACAATTCTGATTTAAATCCTGGTCCACATGGTAGTGCACGTCTGTAGCCCCAGCACTTGAAAGGCTGAAGCAGGAGGATCCCTGAGAGTTCAAAGCTAGATTGGGCTACAAAGCCAGTTCAAGGCCAGCCTGCACTGCATATGAGACTGTCTCAAAAGACAGGAAAAAAATCCTGTTCCAGACTGAATTGAAGTTCCAGTTTAACCCCTGTTCACATCTATAAAATGGGAATTTTTAAGGGGAGAATTAGTAGCTGTATTTTGAGTTAATATGGAAATTTATCAGATAATATATCTTTGCCATAAACTGAATTTAGACTTAACAACATTGTTTTTCCTACTAGTCATCTTTTGATTTTTTTCCTTGTATTTTTTTTTCACCCCATTAGAAGCAGAAGGTCCAGTAGAAAAATATATTTTATAGCATTTTTGTATCTTAAGTGACTATTATTTCAGTTGAGTAGCAGCGTTTTAGTAATTACCATTTCAGGCATTTTGGTTGTTCATTTCTGTAAATTATCCATGGACAATTTCTTTCTTCTTTTTTTTGGTGGGGGTTTTGGGGATTGAACTCATGACCTCACATTTGTCAAGCAGGCGCTTATACAGCTGAGCCAAATCCCCAGTCCATCCTTGGACAGTTTCTGTGAAAGCATCTCCATTCACTTGTTTTGCCTCTATTTTCAGCCCTATTACTTATTCCTGGGAAGGTGGAAAACTGATATCAGAGAATGATGATTTTGAAGATATGGTGGTAACAAGAGAGGATTATGAAGAAAACGGACACAGCGTCTGCGAAGAGAAATTTGATATTTAAGGAACTTTTCTGAATGCAAGTCCCAATGGGTTGTAATTGAAAAAGTTTCATTTCAGTTTTTCTTTTAAAGAAGCTTCTATGTTACCTTTTGTTTAAGGAATTAAGTCTTGAACTCATGTAAATACTTTGATCCGGGCCAGGGATTTAGCTCAGCGGTATAAGCACCTGCCTGGCAAGTGTGAGGTCGCAGGTTTGATCCCTGGTACCAAAACAAAAATACTTTAACCTGTGCTTTCGTAGGAAGGTTATTACAGTAAACTATAACTGCCTGTATTTTCATTTAGGACCTGCACTGCCGTAACAGTGACTGTGCTACTTTTGAGGGTAGGTTATTTTTCATTAGCAGTGAAAGTGAATGTAGTTGAATTCTTCATACCTGAAGGCCAAATTTACCGTCCCCGTGGTCAGTTGCCTATGTAGAGAAGGTAGTTTTGAAGCTTTTGACTAATAGTTGACCAAAGTGTTCATAGGTTTATGTGGGTTTTTCTGTCTCTCAGAACTGCATATTTTGTTTAAAAGGTGTCATTTTTGCTGGGCATAATGGTGCATGCTTGAAATCCCTGCTTTTGGGAGGTTGAGGCAGAATTGCTGTGAGTTCAAGGCCAGTCCCAGCTACCTAGTGAGACCTTGTCTCAAAAAAAAAAAAAAAGAAAGAGGGGCTGGAGGTTTAGCTCAGCGGCGTAAGCGCCTGCCTTGGAAGCAGGCAGTCATGAGTTCGATACCCGGTACTGATAAAAAGGAAAAAGACCAAAAAGAAAGAAAAAGATGTCATTCTTATTCATGTTCAATAAAGTTGGAAAAACTAATCGGCCATGTGTATGTATCAATGTTTACTTTTTCCCTAGAATGAGTTTGGAAGAATAGAGACTAAAGCCAGTTTACCAAAGTTTTTTGGTCTCTACTGTATGGGCAGAAATGTACCATTTTATTTATTTGCTTGTTCGTTTATAGTACTAGTGATTGAACCCTGTGCCCTTATACTGGGCGTCATCTCCAGCCCTTTGTAAAAATTTTTTGTTTTGAGACAGGGTCTCACTAAATCCTTATTACCAGGCTGCGTTCCAACCTGCAGTCCTCCTGCCTCAGCCTCCCAGAGTGCTGGAATTACAAGTGTGCGCTAGTAATGTTTTATTTTAAAACTTCTTTGTATGACCCACAATAGACTTCTTAAGATGTTAAAGGGCACAGCTCTTCTTGCCCTAGTGGGTACAGTACTTGAGGTCTATCTGGGTCCAGCCCTATCTGCAAAAGAAAAAAAATAAAAATAAAAAAATAGCAGAAACCACTGTTGACCAGGAAGGAAAGATTGCCAGGAAGGGAAAGGTCTCAGAATGGCTTTCAGTCCTGAAATACGTCCATCTATCTTCCCTATTTGTCTGTATTCACATACACCTGTTACATGAAAGAGAAAGGTCACAAAACCTTTACATTAGAAAATCATGTGTTTATCTGGGGTTGGGGTTTATAGTATCTAAATGTTCCCAAAGCCTTGCACACTCTGGAGGGCTCAGGGAGGTGACCGGATCGTGGGTGTGTGACACTCATCTGCGGATGAGTCCTCTGATGATTGTGGTGGGGAGGTGAAGCCTGGTGGGAGGGGATCCCCAAGTGTGTTCCTCTCCCTGACCCTCTGCTTTCCAGCACCCTGCCATCAGCGTCAGCCACACCTCCTCTGTGATGTCCCTCTGCCAGGCCCACCTTGAAGCCAGCCCCCTGTGACTATGTATTGTAATCCAAATATTGCAATCACTTTTCCAGTGCTCCGCACAATCTGAAAAGTTACATTTGTAATCCCATTGAGATGTAATTGGAATCCTAGCAAGTTAATTCCAACCCACCACCTCCAGTGCAACCCATGGTGAGAGTAAAGACACCAAGACATACTCAAAGTGAAGGGCAGCCAAGGGGTGCGAAGCCTGGTCCAAGTGAGGCTGCTGGGACAGAAGCCCTGATCCAAGGCCTCTCCCAGAATTCATTATCTCGTAAAGAAGGGAGTGGTTCAAGGATGAGTGACAGTGAGGATGGCGGGGAGCTCCTTGAGTAACCTGAGCTGGGTGGCCAGGTAGGGAGAACTGTGTCTTTGCAAAAAGCAGCGAGCCTTACCACAGGAGGAGCAGAACTCAATTAGGGTAGCATTTGAATGGTTTCAGGAGCTGTTGCCTCGGTTTCTGATGTGTAAACTTTTGTGCCCTGGGGACTCATAGCCTCTTTATTTTGAGGCCTGTCCCAGGCTGACATTCCTGAGCTAGCTGGCTCTGCCACCCTGCTGCATCAATCTTTTACAGAGACCAGTACAGGCAGCCTTATTTGCATTGCTTAGAGCCAAGTGAAGGGAGAAGGAAATACCATAGCGTATGTATCAGGGTACATATCAGTGCATGGAAACAAGACAAGATTTTCACTGGGGACTAAACTCATGACCTCACGCTTGCCAGGCAGGCGCTCTCCAGCTCCAGACTCGTTTAATTAATGCTGAAGCAATTACTCTGCATTCAACAGGAGCCGCTCACATTGTCTCCTATACTATGGACTGTTGTGAGCCAAATAAATCTCCTTAAGTTGTGTGTGTCGGGGATAGTGTCTGAGTGGCAGGAAAGTAGGACAACATGCTCCTGAAGAAAACATTCAGTGATAAAGGATTCATTTTTGAGGACCGTGTGGTAAGTTCAAAGACCAGGATGTGGGATCTTGCCCTGGGCAGAAATAGCCTGAACTCCAAGGCCAGCACATGCAAGTGGGAGTTGTAGCCAGAAGGGCTGGGGTCTCCGGGGTTTCGGTGTCAGGTCATGTGTTGGGATGTGGGAGCCCTAAGGGAAGATGAAGTCACACAGGCTCTGCCCTGGTGAACAGATCAGTCCTCCTACAGGAGTGGGGAGGTGTAACCGGAATGGATGGGTATGGCTGGGTGGGTGGGGGCCCTTCCTGTGTCCTGGCTGCACGTTGCTGCCTTCAGCCTCGCTGGGGGTGGCTTTCCCCAGCCTCCAGAATGCTAAGAACCCTGTTGTTTATAAAGTACCCCACCTCAGGCATTCTGTAACAGCCACCAAAGACCTCCAAAGGGGGTAAGTGGATGACAAATTAGTGAAAGGCAGCCTCAGGGTAAAGAAGATTCCTGCCGAAAGCACCTACAGGATTCTTGCTGGTCAGGCCAGGGAGGCAGACATCACTGGTGGTGGCCAAGGTGTGACCCAGTCACATACCAAGGGCAGGAAGTTCTTGCTAACCTGACTAACCACTGCTCTTTGCCAAAGTAAGATTTTAAATGGAAATACACAGGCCTGGGAGAAGGTGCAGGGCCCTGACAAAGTCCGATCAAGCAAAGACCCTGTCACACCTGAAATTCTGAGTCATCTCCAGAGTCTCAAGCATTAGGAATCAAACGGTTAACTCTCCTGGAAGCATCAAAATTCACCTAGGGGTAAACTTTGCAGTGACTGGAGCTGGGATTCATTTATACAGGAGTAAGTTTCCCAAAAATTGTTTAGCCTAGAATCCACCAATACCACGAGGAATTTAATTCTTTTTAAGCCTAATAAATGTGATTTATGGAGCTGTCACGAGGTAGCATAGAGTTGCTGGCTTAGGAATTTGTCTTTGGATATTAATGCCTAAGAACCGTCAAGAAACATTCCATTTTTTCTTTATAAACAAGTTTGAGTAGCAGTATGTTTATGTTCAGCAAAATAAACTATCAGTGAATATTACATGAATGTCATTCAATTTAAAAAATAAAACTTTTTGCTACTATTTTATGAGACAAGGTCTTGCTTTGTATCCTAGGCTGGCCTAAAACTCATGGTGATCCTCCTGTCTCAGCCTCCTGAGTGCTGGAGTTACAGGTATATGAAACATGCCTGGCTGTGCTTACTGCTTTTGTTCACATTTTTTCTTCCGGTGTTTTGTTTTTGGTACCGGAGGTCAAATGTTGTTTATTTAAAGCAAGGCCTCACTATGAAGTCCAGACTGGCCTCAAATTCTTGCAGATCCTCCTACCTCAGCCTCCCAAGTGCTTCTGTCTGGAATATCTGTCTTTAAATTCTTCTTACTAAGGAATAAATATAAATTTCATTAAATGAACCGATAAGGAAACAAGGAGTAAATTTTTTCTTTAAAATGTCAGAAGAAGGAAGATCTATGGAATTAACCAAAAACTGTTTGAAACACTGGGCTTCCTTACAAAAGTAAATAAATATGCAAACGCTTCCCCCTACTCTACTGAAACACCCACGGGGCAAAGACTCAAGGGACAGTGAGGAAAATGTGGGGGGCTCCCCACACAGTTCTAATTCGTCCATCTGCCCTACAGACGAAAAGTCCGAAGGACTAATGGGCAAATGCTGAGAACGGATAGTCCCAGAGAAGAGGCTACCTATCCTCGTATGGACGATTCCCAATTTCATCCATTCAGAGAAACACATGAAGACGCCCGGACTCCTTTCCCCATTTCTCAGACGGCAAATTTTCATTTTTATTTCAATAAGGTTGAGCAGAATGCGGGGGGAGGAGAGGCTCCACCTCCTTGGGTAAAGTTGAATGAGAGTGCGCTCCAGCAGTGCTCCTCAGGGGCCAGAGGGCGCAGTGGGACCCGAGGAGCCAGCTTGCGGGGACGCGGCGGCACCGAGCCTGCAGCGCGCAGCTCGGCGATCGCTGTAAGACTCCCAGGAAAAACGGAGGGAACCGAGGCCTGCCGGAAAGGGCCGAAGAGGGGCGGAGGCAACCGAGGCGTGTCGGAAAAGACCGAAGAGGGGCGGAGAACCGAGCCTGGAGTGTGGGATTCTCGGGTGGACACGGAGAGCCGGGGACGAAGTAAGGGACTAGAGGCTGCGGAGCGGAGCGAGGAGCCGCGGAGGGAATCGGAGTGGGGTGGTGACCCGAACCTAGTGCGTGGGCCAAGAGATAGGACAGAGCTGTGGCTTACTCTTCAAGAAGGAAAAGAAAAAAAGCGAAGAGTCAGAGGAGTTGCCATGAGACACCCAGGACCGAATACTGCACCCTGCAGAGGGGGAGGTGGGAAGCCCCACAAGCAAGGAGAGTGCTCACCTCCTGAGAGGAAAGCTCGTCAGGGCTTCCGGAAAGAACTTCCCATGGATATTAAAAATAAGCTTCATAGTGTCACTGTGCGCAACAGACTTTTATTTATTTATTCTTGGTTTTGCGAGAACAGGGTCTTGCTATGTAGCCCAGGCTATCCTTAAACTTGCAGTGATCCTCCTGCCTCAGCCTCCTGCGGGCTAGGATTACGGGCATGCCCCACCACATTCAGCAATAACATTTTTAGTACAACCTCATTTTTGGCATTTTCTCAAGAAACTTGGCAACAGCAGTCAGTTAATCATAAAGGAGAGAGAAATGTGAGTCAATTCTTGCTACGGCATCAAGATCTCCTTGTAGAAGAGTCTGGAGTTTCTTACCACTCAGATCCGATGAAGTAATTGACCTCTGCATAAAAAACATTTCCAGATATTTAACAGGATTTTTTTTAAGCCAATAATTCAACATGGGAAAGTTTTTTCTGTTTCTGGGTAGATAAAGAGGATGGGGACAGGGTTTCAGGTGGTAGAAGTGCTCTGAACTGTAAAGGTTGTGAATACTTCAAAGGTTTTTTTTTTTTTTTTTTAGCATTCTTGAAATCCAGTTTCCTTTTTTCTGTGTGTACTTTTATTTGAAACTAGGTTAAGTAATCACTTGTGAAATGTTTGCCCATAATAAAAATTACTTGTATTTCTATGGTAACACCCATCTAAATAATCCTGTGTTGTAATTACATGGTCTCTATGTAAATGGTGGCTCCAAAATACAGCACATT